GGGGGACTGCTGTAACATGCCAGTAGCCATTGAGTGCCCTATGTGTCACAGACCTCTCCCCAGATTTTGGCACCAATGATATTCAGGTAAACAGAAAAGAACAGTCTCCACTGAAATATCAAAGAACGACTGCAAAGCGTAGCACTCTGCTCACAGCTAAGTTTTACTGCACTGTGTCTGACAGTCACGCGGGAACACCCATTCCCAAAAGCCAGAAAGCCAGAGACATGCCAACAACAAATCCAAAAGCCCTGCAGCAGTGCACAGAGGAAAGTCATATAAAGAATTCAGCACGAGCAGAGGACTTGTGCCTGGCCTGAGCACAGAGACACCAGCACGAGATGGTAGCACCAACTGTGGTGGCACCCACAAAACCTGCAGCCACCAGTTTGGTCTTTTGAAAGCCAGTTGTTTTGACAGCTCACCCACTCTCTCCACTTCAACAGATCGCAGCCACAGGGATCTGTCACACAGATGAACATGTTCTAGAAGGTAAATTTCCTGACGTAGAATTCCCAGTCATCCCAGGCCATGAAGGAGCGGGGATTGTGGAGAGCATTGGAGAAGGAGTGACCTCTGTGAAACCAGGTAACCACCGCACGCAGCCAGGACTCAGCTCTCAAAGTCTGGAAGGCTGCCCAGAGATCAGAAACTCCCTCTGGCTGCACACCAGTTGTGCTATGCTATCACACACACTTTCCTCATCAATACCACAAAGTGCTTGAGGTGGGCTCTGAACATGTTCTGTGGACAGGGAAAGCAGAGCGTTCATGCCAGGGTGCAGTCATCACAAAGCTCAGCAGAGGCACACCAACAGGCTGTCAAGTGAAAGCACCTAATGCTGGATCTGCTTTGTTCCAGGAGACAAAGTCATATTGTTTCCACTTCCTCAGTGTGGAGAATGCAGCTTCTGCTTGAATCCTGACTCCAACTACTGCGTGAAATCACAGTGAGTTTGTTTTCACCTACCCCTTTACCCAAAACAGGCTAAACTGTCAACAATTCTGACATGCACACACGTGTACCTTATGCGATGAGCAACTCATGCACATACTTCCAACAGCCTCACTGAACCACAAAACCTGCTGCCTGACAAGACCAGCAGATTCACTTGCAAAGGGAAACAGATCCACCACTTCTTCTGGGTCAGTACCTTTGCAGAATACACTGTGGTGCCCGAGTACACCCTGGCCAAGATAGATGCTACTGCGCCTCTGGACAAAGTCTGCTTGCTTGCCTGTGGTTTTTCCACAGGCTATGGGGCTGCCATCAACACCGCCAAGGTTGGTATTCAGACATGTCAAAAATAAGTGTCCCACGGCCACTTTCACACCCTCAAAAAAGCAATAGACACTTCCTCCTCACACGGTAGACTAATCCAGCCCCACGTCATGCAGGTAAAACCG